CCTGGCCATGGGTCAAATTGTCGCTACCAGACAATAAGTCAGCTCTTTGAACCAGAGTATCTGGCCAAAAATCAACCGTCTCAGAATCCACAAGTGGACTATCGCGACATTCCGCTCTCTCTCCAAATCGGCAAGCTACCGCACGGAGTTCGTGATCTTCGATCCCATTCTTCTTCTTCTTTCTTCTTTCTCTTATATGGGCCGAGGGCTTTGTCTGCGCTCATGGGTCCCGCTATTTCTTTACCTCTTGTCTACCTTCGAGCGGACCTACTATGATCTTACTTCCACCGGCAATGGTATACGGAAGGCCGGAATTGTATTTGCATATCCCCAATTCGATCACAAATAAGAGAGCCTTCAACATTATAGGCTTCATATCATATTTCTTTATTTGATTTTGCTGAGATTGATTTGATATAGTGGAACGAAGTTCCGATGTTAAGTGCATTTTATTCGTCATTGATGATACACGGGAGAGCTTATCCCCTTACAAGCTACATTGTTAGATCCTATCGAGGTTTGCTCCCTCACATTGGCGGCCATGAGATTAATTAAAATTAATTATGATTAATTACTTAAAATTAATCATAATTAATTCTAATAATTATAATTAAATCAATAATTAAAGTTAATTAATTATGATTAATTAAAATAATTTTTTAATTAAAATTAATTAATTAGTATTATCTATAATTAATTATAATAATATAATCAATTAGAATAATTATAACTAATATAATTAATATAAATTCTAATTAAAATTAATAATCATTAATTTTAATTAAAATCTATATCTCTCCCTTCCTCTCTACTCGGCGATATTACTGGATTTGGCCGAAGATCGTGCGTGAAAGGGAGAGGTTACCTTCACAGCAAGCTTCTGTCTTGGCTTCCGATCGGACACATTATAACTAATATAATTAATATAAATTCTAATTAAAATTAATAATCATTAATTTTAATTAAAATCTATATCTCTCCCTTCCTCTCTACTCGGCGATATTACTGGATTTGGCCGAAGATCGTGCGTGAAAGGGAGAGGTTACCTTCACAGCAAGCTTCTGTCTTGGCTTCCGATCGGACACAAAGGGAAAAAAGGATCGGGAGGAGATGGAGTCGGCTAGCAAGGGAGGAGGTAGGCCTATCTTCCTCTCTCTCTCTCTCTCTCTCTCTCTCTCTCTCTCTCTCTCTCTCTCTGTTCGTGTGTGGAGTCGGCACGGACAGGAGGTCGACGGGGTCGGGTAAAGGTCGGAGATGGATCGACGGGATGGCTGGAGGTGTGGCTGGAGCTTGGGAGAAATCGGGAAGCAGAGGAGATGGGAGCTCGGTCTGGAGGAGTCGGCTGGAGATCGGAATCAGCGGCTCGGGTAGAGAGGAGGAAGGAGATTTCGGTTTGGTGGAGGTCGGAGGGAGCGAAGTCGAACTGCCGTGAAGGAGCCGAAGAAGCCTCGTGAAAGGGAGAAAGTTAACGTCACAGCGAGCGACTCCCGTCGTTGGTTCCGATCGAAAGTTCGGAGCCTCCGATTCGACAGGGAAGGGACGCCGGAGGAGCGAGGTTGGACGGAGCTTCGTATGAGTAGCGACGGGAGGAAGAGTCGGAGGAGGGGGATTCTCGTGTGTTGGAGAGATGGAGTTCGTGTGTGGAAGCGACGAGAGCAGAGGGATTCAGCGTGTGAAAGAGCAGCGATCGTATGTGGAGAGGATAGCGAGCTGTGTGGAATCGGACAGAAGGAAGCAGCAGCCGAAGACTCTATTTGCCCTGCTATTTAACAACGATCGGGATCGTTCTGCGAGGCAGGTCGCGGGATTTAGGCAGGATTTTCCGATCGAGACATAAGCGGCGCTGAGCTACAGGATTTTACGGGATTTTTGGACAGAACCTCGGCGAGATTTCGGTGGGTTTTGCGGCTGGATTCGAGGATCCAATGGACAAGGTATGATTTTGAACTTCTCTCTCTCTTTTTTTTTTTTTTTTGTTTCCCTTGGATTTAGTATACAGGTCAACATCCTCCTTCGGCGATCTATGATCTTTCTTCCACGACAATGAAGGCCGTTGATATTTGCATCCCAATTGACCTGAGAACCTTCAACATTTATAGGATGCTTCATATCATATTTTTTATTTGATTTTTGCTTGCAGATTGATTTGATTGGAACGTTCCAAGTTTTAATTTCATTATTCGTCATTTGTGTACACGGAGAGCTTATCCCCTACAAGCTACTTGTAAATGGGTTGCTATGGGCGGCATGAGTGTTCGTACCCTTAGGCGAATCATTCCGCATACCACGAGTCTTCTACATATGCTCATAAGAAATGGTACTCACTGCATGTCCTTGACCCTTGTCTGACTAAGGGAATGTGATATGCCATTTTAATTTCATCGCTCATGGGCAAAGTACATATGCAGGTTGTTGTATTCATTGTGCATCTTCTACCTTCTTTTTGTGAATGAATTATGACATACATTGCACTCATCTTGCCTTTCATTATTGTCTGCAAGCGAGGCACCATATTCTCTACAATCTTTGTTGATTATTACTTATATATGAGTTATGTTGAATGTTACAAATCTTTCGTTGTCCTTTGAAGACGACCCATTGTTTTTATAGTGAACTCGCTCATTAATGTTTGCATTCCAATCAATGTAATTACTCATTAATATTCCATTGAAGTTCCCTCTTAAGCGAATCTGATGACTTGATTGCAACTGCGCAGTCCATTTGGCAAGCGGAGGTTATTTGGCCATTCAAGTGACGTGCCGCGCCAACGCGCGCGTTGCTTAAATTTCCTCTTTTTTTTTTGTTTTGACGTGTTTGTTTCAACACTTTATTGCATTTCCTGTATCTTGGAATTCATTCCAAGTGGTGATTGCCTCCTTTGTCGGTTCCTCCTCCACAACAACCAGCAGCCTTCAGCCGCACTTCCTCAATAGCAGCAGCAGCCCTCCTTCTCCGGCTCTTCCTCCATAGCTGCTAGCAGCCTGCCGCCACCTGTTTCTCCTCCTCGCCAGCCCACGTCTGAGTATTTCCCGCTGTTCCCCCCTGCAGAAAACTGCTGTCCTTCTGGATATCCATAAACTTAATTCTTTTCTTCAAGATTGCTGTTTTCTTCTTCCACCATGAAGAAAGTGGAAGCCTCCATCCCAATCTGAACCAATTCTGTCACCAAGATGACCTCTCCTTGATTTTTTTCAGGTTGTTTGTAATCTTTTACTATTAACTCACAATTCCGGTGTTATTGTGATAAGGAGCAACAGAAAGGAAGTCACGAAGCAAGTGTATATGGATGTAAAATCTAATTCTGAAATAAACTTTAAGCCAGAAATTATTGCATGGTTAATGATTCATATAGTTTACTTCTCAGTTCTCAATTTTATTCTTTACAGGGAGGAAGTATTTGGTCCAGTTGCTCCTCTTTTGCGCTTTAAAACTGAAGACGAGGCTATTCGCATAGCAAATGACACAAATGCTGGTACTCTTTAGATTGTAGTGAGCACGTAATAAATGTCTATGAGCTTGTTATTCTAATATAGTCTTATGTGGAAGCTTATAATATAGACTACAGCCAAGGCGGATCCAGTTTCTTTTTTCAGGGTGGACAAAAAAAAAAAATTTTTTTATGGGGAATGGGCAAAAACACTTAGGATTGATAAAATTAGGGCAAAAAAGATTTTTGAGAGGGGACAAAATACCCAAAATATTCAAAATACTTCAAAATATCCCATCTAAATATTTAATATTTTTTGTTTGGGGTGGGCATTTGCATGCAAGTTGTTGTGTTCAATCAGGATCTGTGAGTGATATCTGTTTGTGGGTTCCTGCAGGTCTGGCTGCTTACATATTTACTCAATGCATACCTCGTTCATGGCGTGTATCAGAAGCACTTGAATATGGGCTTGTTGGAGTTAATGAAGGCTTAATATCTACTGAGGTAAATGATCAAGTGTAGAACTTTATGTAGTAGCCGTTAAATTTCCATAAATATTACTATATTCTTTTTTATAGGTTGCACCATTTGGAGGTGTCAAGCAGTCTGGCCTTGGACGAGAAGGCTCCAAATATGGCATGGATGAATATATGGAGGTAAGTATTCTACATCGTTTTATTTATCATAAAAAATCGCCAGTTCAAGTATTAACTTTTTTGTTTTTACATAATGTGGCTGCAGCTCAAATATGTGTGCTTTGGAAACATTTAGGAGCTTTGAAATAAGACTAATCTCGTTGATGGTAATCAAAATTTGCTGCTCCTATTGTGCAGCTGATTCTATTTATTTTTCTTCCTTGTATTTTGGTAGCTTCTGTCCTTGTTCCAAATTTCCAATGCATAACTGGGCTAATCCAAGTCACATAATTATTCTTATTTGTCTTTTCAGCACCGTATATGTTGTTGTCCACCATGGATTAGCTGAAGTTTAATATCATTAATCTTGATTTCATGTGTCCATGAGCAAATTTAAATCAACATATTCCAAAAAAAATTTAAGCTTTGTTTGGGATGATTTTCTTACTATTTAAAACAGCTTTTTAGTATAAAATTTTTTAATTTTTGTTCTAAAAAGTTGTTTTAAGAAACAGTAAAAAAGCCGTCCCAAACGAATTCTTAGTTAAAATGAGCTTTATAATCGTCAAATTTTATTTGAGATAGGTGCAATGTGTTTTGATTGATTAGTCATCTATTACGTTTATCTCAAAATGACTTGATGATCATGAAGTTTTTACTCGTTTATTATCCTTTATTGAAAAAAATTATTCTATGCGGACACCGATCGCCATCCGGAGATCAATAAAAATGCACCACGTCATTCTTTTATTGTACCGTAGCTCGGTACCGCTCGGTACCGTGGCATCCGGATGTAGAGCTGCATCTAGTGTCCGCACAGAATAATTTTTGGAAGTGCACTCCAATAACTTGACTAGTATAGGGAAAGCAGGTCTCTTTACAGAGAAAATAAGCCCATAATCCACTTGACAAGGAGAATTAAAACAGCTTATAGGCATAATATATAAATATTTAATTTCTTCTTATTGCTGATTCTGAAAAATCTGGACATTTGCAGGTAACTATCAGTCTGAAGGATCAAATTATGGAGAGATTTGTCTTTTATGGAGCTGAGCATAAGGTTTTTACTTCAGTGCAACCCCAATCCATTTTTTCCCATATTTTCTCCATCCTTTCCTTTTTATGTTAAAAACATTTCTGTGCTTATATATATATATATATTAGAGCCTGTAATTGTATGAATAAGAAATAGTGAAATGGAGGATCTATTTGGGTACTTCATTTTTTTTTTTTATTAATCATATAACAATAATAGTTTTGTTTGGATATTGCTTTTTTATTGCTTTTTCATAGCTTTTTAGAAATTTGTGATAGCAAATTATTTCTTACGATCATAACAGCTAAGTTATTTTTCTTATAAGAGCTTAATAATCAACTTTATAAAACGGAATAAGATTAGTACTATGCTTTGGAGATTGATATTTGAATAGAGAAAAAAATCATATAATAATATTCCTATCAAAATTTTGATTAGGATGAGATATACTTGGCATATAAATAATTGATATTATATTATTTTAAAATATATTTAAATATTTTGATATTTATTTTGACATTTTTTGTTAGGATATTATGATATAACAATTTTCATTACCAATCTTCATTTTATTTCTTTTTTTTAATTATTTCATTTTTGTTTGATATTTTATTATTATTGTAATAATAATATACTACTACTAATAATAATAATATTATTATTATATATTAATACACTAAAGAAATCTTTAACCCTTATTGAATCTCACTTTTTAGTTTTGTTTGGGTTGTAATGTTAAACAGAATGGTTGGAGTATAATTTTTTTTTAAAATTATATAAAATCAACATAATTGAGGAAAATCAAACTTACACATTAGCCCAAAATGTTGTGTAAAACTAAATAATTAAAATAAGAATAGGCTAGAAATGAATATTAAAGTTATGCTTATCTATACTTTTTTTTTCTAATATATTTTCAGTTCAATTTTCTAATGTTTAAAATAAATAGATAGCCACGTGTTTTTTTGAGATTGGTTGTCACAAATCCAAACTTTTGTATGCATGGATTGTTGAAATACTAACTAGTCAAGCAAATAAAATTCATAAAATCACAAATAGATCTTTAAATTTCAAAAAAGATAAAAAAACTATAATATTAACATCTAACTCATTCCAAATTTTATGAGAATTAAGGGGTTGAAAGAAATTTAATTATACCTATATTTATAGTATTAGATAGATAGAGTTGTCATAGATGATTTGGTCACATAAAATATCAGTCTTTCGATGACTCGAGTAGGAGAGATGTATTAGAATTGGCCTATGTTAAGAAATGTAAAAAATAGACCAATTTTTTTTTATTAGAAAGTATTATATTTTTTTATTAGATTTAAATGAGAATTTGACTCTTGAAAGGACACAATGAAGAAAGAGGATTTATGTATCTCATCCCAGATAGCGAAATAAATTAAGGCTTGATGTTGTTGTATCTGTAAGGTCTTTAAATAGCTTAACGAATATTTCTATTTGCTAAAGCTCTTAAAATTTGTGGATATTATCTATAAATTTAAAACTTGCATTCTTTTCAATACAAGAAAGAAATAAAGAGAGTTTTATACAAATTCCTCTTCAAAACGAATAAAATGAGATATTTTATATAGAGAATCATTTTTAAAGAGAAACCACAAAAGTGTGCTTAAAATCTAAGCTAACATGCATCTCCTTGATATGATGCGGATATTAATATAATTAAAAATTAATTAATTTCTAACTTTGCAATCTTTGTCAAAAGGTGACAAACATCCTCTTTGCACGTGGATTTTATAGGAATAAATCTCCATTCCTATAATTTATCCTTTCTATTATTATTGCAAATTAGATCAACTTTTCATGTTGATTTGGATCATAGAGACCATGCATTAAAAAAATAAAAATTAAAAACTTCCAAAAGCTACCAAAAACTTAGGCTTCGTTTGTGACAGGTTTCGTACATCTTCCCAAAACGGCTTTCTAGTATAAAATTTTCTAATTCATGAAATTTTTGTACTACAAAGCTGTTTTAGAAAGCAACAAAAAGATGTCTCAAACAAAGCCTTAGGCTTCATTTGGGACAACTTTAAACCACTGCTTCTTCTCCACTTTCAAGAATTTTTATACTAAAAAATAGTTTTACAAAACAATAAAAAACCGCCCGGCTTCGTTTGGGACAGATTTCTTATTACTTCGAAAGCAGTTTATTTTTACAAAGATTTCTAGTTAAAAAAAATTTCGTATTAAAAAGCTGTTTTAGAAAGCAATAAGAAATTTTTCACAAACGAAACTTTAAATTTTATTTGGGACAACTTTCTTACCGTTTTCTACATCAACTTTATAATATAAATTTTTTAAAAAAAATAATGACAAAAAACAATCCCAATAAAGCATTAGAGACGTGAATATCACGGAAATATAAATTATATATGTTTGTGTGTGTGAGTGAGAGAGAGAGAGAGAGAATATTTGAAAAATAATAAAAAATCTATAACTATTAAAACTTATCTTTACTTTATAATAAAAGACACGAGCTAACTAATTTCTATTAATTACATGCATCAATCTAGTCATTATTAATTTATCATATTATTTACATAAATGACATATTGATGAACCTTCGTGGAAAATACAAGAGATGGCAGCCAAAAGGCCCAAGCCATTCTTTACTTTTATAGTATAATAAAGCTAAGCATAAAGGCAATTCAAGTTTAAATATAGAGCTACTCCACCATAGGCCTTTAGTGGATATGAAAGATTTTCATATAAATTTGGCTCAAGAACCTTTTATTAATCATGCAAATAAAACATATTAGCACTATTTTATATGCTTGAATTTCCAAAAATGATTTTAGAAATAAATTAGTCGTCCGCTTGATGCACAATGAAATGACGATAATTTTTTATAGGTAATTTTGATGAAACGACTGATACAACAGTGACTGATATAGTGGATCGACGAAAGAATCGAATATGCTAGAAGGAATTCCCAATCTAGGGAATAAACATAAGCTTAAAGCTTCAAAAGATATATATATTCATCATTTCATTTTTCCTACTACAATAGCTATATTTATATGCTAGGAATAACATTCTAGAATGCATATAACAAACTTATATAAGTTATTCCTAAGGGCTTATTTAGCTAATTATGTTTCACATCAGTGACCATAAAATTTTGCCCAAAATATATATATCATTTAACGGGTAAAATTTGTTGACAACCAAAATAAATTCGTCAATCTGACAAGAAATTGTCATTTCCATGATCTCATCCCTTCCCCTTTCCTCACATCAGAGGCATAAATCATAATGACTTTGCCCTCATGCTCGTGACACAGTCATCATTGTTAATTTTCTCCTCACTTTTGTTATACATAGATTTGTTGAAACGACTTGTCGTAAGGTCAAACTATTCGAGATTCAAATGATATTTTTTATAAACAAGAAACACTATTAAGAATGACCAAACATCGATAATGCAGGCATATGAAAATGAGATTAAAAAATGATTGAGCATATTTCTTATCGATATGTTATGATAATGTGTTCATGAAGGTGCCTATTAGAATACATATGGCAAACACATATCATATTTGCAATACAAATTTTACCATTATACAAATCATCAAAATAAATGTCAAAATTATCATACTACCCAAGACATGTATAGACTCTCTCTCTCTCTCTCTCTCTCTCTCTCTCTCTCTCTCTCACTACAAAGAAGAAAGAAGAGAGAAGCTCAAAATTAAAGGTCCCCCCACACATCAAATAAATCTATAAAAAAATTATTTGAAATGCATTATTTAGGTGGCTCAATTAAAATAAAAGTGGTTATTTATTTTTATTTGAGTAGTATTTTTACTAATCAACTAATTAAGATGTGACATTAATTTCATACAATTAATAATGCTCTTTGATACACATTAAATTAATACAATATTTATAGTATTATATTAAATATATTAATTTCTACACAATAATGCTCTTCGATGTACATTAAACTAACACATTTATAATTTTAATTTAAGAGTTACTATATTATATATACAATAATGATTCACCACTTTCTTATATATTATTCTCTTCTTCTATATATATATAACAAGCCATCAACACATATTGTTGAAAAAATAAAATTTTCAATGCAAAAAGGAAATATCTTCATTACTAAAAAAATTAAAATACAAAAGGGTGCAAAACTTAATGCCAAATGAAAAGAAACGAAGAAAACTAAAAAAAAAAAAAATTGAAAGTATCCACAAAATAGTCAACCCGCTATAATAAGGTTTTGTCAGAGGCATCTTTCTTATTATTTTCTACAACAGTTTTTTAGTACATAAAAATTAGTTTAAAATAGTTTTGTACTAAAAAATTATTTTAAAAATAATAAGAAAGTTGCCTCAAATGAAGCCTAAGTAACTAATATGCTCTCGTACACGTGAAGGGATAGCTCTTTTCATTTTATTTCATTTCTTCATGCATCTGAAGCATCTAATTGTGTTCTTCATGCCTGGGTTCATAAAATATGGAGTGAAAGAGGGTTCATTGTGGACTTTCTGGATGAACAGGAGGAGGAATTAGCACAATCTCCTGAGAAAAAATGTTGGATTAAGATCAGAGGCATTTTGTACCTTCTTATAGTATATTTATGGAGATAAATATATGTCTAATAATTCTCAATAATATGTTGAACATTTTGCATCTATTGGATTTATAGACCAATCTCTTTTCATTTCATTGCTTTATATATTGCTACATTAAGCAGCTCATCTTGATCAGTTGGCAAGAGATTTAGCTACCAACCAAAAGGTCTTGAGTTCAAAATTTACGCATATGATGTGTGTTCGGGTCGGTCTTAATTGACTCAAAAGTTTCCAAATATATATTGCTTCATTCTTCAATCATTATATATATATGTATTATAAGAAATTCATTTAGGAGAAGTTTTTTAAAAATATATATCTTGTAAACTTTTTGTAGCATCAAAATATATATATAAGATGATATTTATTTTAAGATGTTAGGAAAACAAAATAAGGTGATGTGAATTATTTCATATAACATTATGATATAGATTTAAATTTATATCTTAACTTACATAAAAATCTCCTGTGGAAACAGACAGATGAAAGATGACACATACATACAAATGACAAAATGTTCTTACCTACATATTTTGTAAAAGGAAACACTATAGGTCTAAGCCCTATTGAAAATTATTATGTTAACTTTAGTATGAAGATAGATTAAAAAATGTGAGAATGCATTATAAGAACTCTAATATTGAATGTCATGAAGTGGTAGTCAAGAGTGTTGAAAGCTTGAAACATCAATGAGGGGTGGTAGATGACATATATCATTGATGTTGGCAAATGAAGGAGAAATTATTCTGTGCATAGAACGAATGCAGAACGCCGTCCAGAGCTAGACCAACCAGAATGCGTCACGTTAGTAGTATCGAGCGGTACCGAGTGCACGGGTGACGTACGTACGTGGCGCATTCTGGTTGGTCTCCAAAGGGCGTTCAGCGTTCACACAAAATAATTAAAGGGAGGTGGTGATCGTCAAGAGTTAGATGTCAACAGGTGTTAATTACTTAATTGAAAAATGATTGAATCATCCTACCTATGATTGGCCTAATTGATTCACCTAAGTTAAAAATATAATCAAATGGTCGAGAAATGGAAGAATCCTTTTCATGGTTCATAAGTCAATCTTTTTTTTAATTCATTGGATTAGGGGCGGATCCAACTTCTTTTTTTAGGGCGGACAAAATTTAATTAATTAGACAACAACAATAATAATGAAAAAAATAAATAAATTAATAACATTAAATAGTAATAATAAAATAAATAAATTTTTAAAATAATTTAACCAACATAAATATACTATCAAATTTATAAGAGAAAATTGTACAGTTTATCTTTCAATTTAATATTGATTTTAATAATAATATAAGATAGAGTATAATCATATACGTTATGCTGAAGCTAGACCCTAACTTAGAGAAAAATAATAATAAAAAAGCTTAATGTTATCTAACTTAAGAAAAAAAGGGATAATTAAACCATAAATTATGCATAATATTTAATGGATTTAAGAATAGCTCATGCACAAATCATAAATCAATTAAAAATAAGATTTATTTGTATAACAAAAAATAAGATTAATTTGTATACAAATTATAATTTTTTTCTCTTATTTCTTAGAATTCCTTTTAAACTCAACTTATAAATCATAATACACATTTTTTCATTGGATAAAGTTTCACTCATACTTTATACAAATTATAAAGTAATTACATTACCTTTTTGTGGTGTCTTCAATCAATGCTTCTTTCTCTTCCTAAATGACGGGCAATTAAAATATTTTTTTAGAGGGATCAAAACTCTAAATTAACCTTCATAAAGATTTTTTTTTTTTTAGGGTGGGCAAAAGGTTATATGGGGATCCGCCCATGTCATTGGTGATCAAGTCAATTACTACTATGACATAATTAATGTTTGAGCTCTATCATAAGCAGTGATCCAACAACTTTATTCCCCAAATCAACATTTACTCTTATCATCTTCTTACCAAGGTCAACCCTTTTTTTGATATCCATGACGCAATGCTTCCAAAAATATTAGATCTTTGTGGAAAAGTTCATCTTTTTTTCAACCCCCTCTGCAATATATTAGAATTTTTTTTGTGAGCCATGCAATTCATTGAAAAGTTCTCTATATCATTGCTCTATATTATTACTAAATACAAAACAAGTACTATTACATTCCTTCCCAATTGAGGACTACACAATTCTTTTTTATCCAAATTAACTCTAATTTTGAGTTGTCTATTGAAACACTTATTGTCCCCATTCGGATTTACTTCTCATAGCGCATCCACTTGATATATTTGTTTTTTACTCATTAGCTTCTTCTTTGTCAGTATATATATATTGCACAGAGAGAGAGACGGAACCAATCTCTTTTTTGAGGATAGGTACGTAAATGGAATTGTGAAATGCATAATTTTAAATATGATAGAAAAAAGGAAGTTATTTCTGAAAAAAAAAATAGTTAAAATGCTTATTCTTCTAAAGAGAAAAAAAATTCATATGAGAAATTGCTCAGCCTGAGTTCTTACTGGTATATATAAGATTTAAAAAAAAAAAAAAAGGATATATTGCCATTTGAATTGGCATATTTAAGACAAAAAAGGATCTGAGCAAACGGCAGCAGAAAAATTCAAAATGTATTTGTCAATTGTCACGCACGAAGAATATGTATATATTAAAAAGAAGCACTGCAAATTATTTAAGAAGTGCAAAATAAATGTATTTTTTTCTTTGCGAAAGTAGGGTTAGAACTTATTAATTATAAGTTGGTGTGACCTTTATTTCAGGCATAGAATAACCATACTTTCTTTACAAGAGAGAGAAGACTAAAAGAGAGGCATTTGAGTGTGGTGGAGAGAGTGGAAGAAGAGAGGAGAGAGAGAGAGAGAGAGACTACTGATCTCAGCTCTCATGAAACCATAATCTCTTTGGAAAGGAAACGCACCCTATTCCTTCATATATGCCATCCTTTGTTCTTGAATCTCTTCCAAGATCTATAGCAGCTTAGAAAGAAAGATATAAGCAGCTAGAGATAGAAAGAGAGATAAAGATAGAAGAGAGAATGTTCCCTTCAAAGAAGCCAACTATGAATTCACATGAAGCTGGGCCTTTGTCATGTGTGCAAGGTGACTCAGGCCTCGTTCTTACGACCGACCCTAAGCCTCGTCTCCGGTGGACCGTCGAGCTCCATGACCGGTTCGTCGATGCTGTCACTCAGCTCGGCGGCCCTGACAGTTCTGTCATCTACTCATGACCTTCTTCCTCCTTCTTGGATCTCTGATGATCTTCAATTATAATAATTTCTCTTGTGTTTGATTTTGTAGAGGCCACGCCAAAGACAATTATGAGGGTTATGGGTGTGAAGGGTCTTACACTCTATCACCTTAAAAGCCATCTTCAGGTACTTGGATGCAGAAACATGCAAATAGTTTTGATCTTTCATTTCAGTCTTCCACTTCTTTGAGGTTTTCAGCCAATTCTTTTTGCTCCTTATATCTTCATGATCAATTATGTGTAGAAATTTAGGCTTGGGAAGCAACCACACAAGGATTTCAACGATCATTCCAAGGATGGTGAGAGAGCTTGATCATATAGAAAGCTAGCTAGCTAGCTAGCTTGATCGATGCTAATTTCATAGAATTATTCTTTGTCTCGTAAATTAATCAACTTTATTAATATAAAATTTTATGAACTATGATCACAACGGCAGCTCTAGATATGCAAAGAATTGGAGCATCTTCCTCTGGGACTATGGGCAGATCCATGACTGAGTGAGTTGCACCAGATTTTTCTTTTTTATTTTTATTTTATCTGGTAAAAATACAAACTTAGCTCAGGATATGTAGTACTCTTCATATTTTAGGACAAGATAAATTTTTTTTATTATTTATTTGATTAGTTTTGCATGTTAATAAAAAAATTATTTATCTATAATTCTTTGCATGTTGCGTTACAAAACAATAGAAGATGTTCTCTTTTTTCTCACATCATTTCATTTATTTTCTCTTATTTATATTCCCCTTCAAATTATACAGCAGAAACGCACAGACAGCAGAAGCACTAAGGATGCAGCTGGAGGTCCAAAGAAGACTCCATGAACAACTAGAGGTCAGTCAGAAAAAAAAAATCAGAATCATAATCATAATTATGTTCTTTACAAATCTACCAAATTAACCAAATCTTATCAAAATTTTCTCCTTATAAGCACTAATTAATTATCTACTAATATAGGTACAAAAGAGTCTTCAAATGAGAATCGAAGCTCAAGGAAAATACATGCAATCCATCTTAGAAAAAGCTTGCCAAACCCTAGCTGCATGTGAGAATATGCAATCGTCAACAGATGCATATAAAGCTTTCAACAGCCATGGTTCCATTCAAATAGACCTCATGAAGGACATGGCATCCCCCATGGCTATAACCTTCCCATCCCTGCAAGATATCAACCTCTTCAACAACAATCAGCTTGATCATCACATGAATCATCAAGAAGACACCAGCTTTTTCAGATCAAATAATGATAATAATATCTTCTTAGGGAAGAAAAGGCAGCATGATTTTTACAGCAATCAAAGTGGGAAGAGTCCTATGATTTGGACTGATCAAGATCAGTTTGGATCAGGACAGGAAGACAGCTGCAAGAGTGAACAAATTCATGAGATTTCTACTTCTGTGATTAATGGAAGCTTGGATATGGAGTCCATGATGGAAGTTTATGAGGCAACACCTATGGTTTCAGGTGATCAGGAATGTAGAAAAGCTCCAGTTTTGACGAAGGAGATGATGAGTCCAGTGATTAGAGGTGGTGGATTGAGCCAAGGAAGGAATTTGTCTTATGGGTGATAGGGTGAGCTTCTCAATTAATTTTCTTATTTTTGTTCTTTTTTGTTTCTTTTTCATGCAAGAAAAATGATATGAGGTCATGATGATGCCTTGCATGCTTAAATAAGTGACTTTTGGACTGCAAGTGTGCTATGCAAAATGCTAACTTGATCAATCGAATCAAGGCCGTTGATTTTTTTGTGGGTGGATTATGATCAGTTAGATTTATGGCATGAGAACTGATCAGTATAGCTAGTTTTGAAACCTAAATGCTTGTTTGGATTAGTTTTCCTGCTTGAATTGAAAGAAAATAATTAATTGGCATAGTTGTGCGGATGAACCCATAAGTTCTTGTTTGGATTAGATTAATCATATTATTAAGAAGTTATTATGCGTTTTGCTTGGAGTTATTAGGTTTATTTTGTGTCGTGTACGTGTTACAATGCATTTATATTTAATGATATGAATATTACAAATTAATGAAATTTCTTAATTTATTTTATCTTGAATCTGAATGAGGTTTAATGAAATTACTGGATTAATATTTTCACTAATTTCTTCATTATCGTTAATAACTTAGTCAAAAATCTTCTTTCCATGCATAATTAGCATGTCAGAAAAGACCAGAGGCTCGATTTAAATAAGAAAACACTGTGATTAGAAAGCTTAAATGTGGATTTTCATGCATTGAAAGAATCAACTAGCACGTGATAAAAGAAGCACTTTGATGAGCAATGCAATCTGAGGCAAGACTTAATCTATGATGTGAAAAGAGTATAATTGTGTCCTATTCATATCCTTTAAATTTTTGATATAATTAAATTGATAATGTATTTTTTGTGCAATTAATATGCTCATAAAGACTTAGAAAAAAATTTAATTATAACATTCTAAGCATATTTACTATATAAAAAATAACATCAATTGCCTCCTTTATATTACTTTGTCATCAAATTTTTATTAATAAATTATTAAAATAATATTTTTTTTCCTTGAAGAATATATATAATAGGAAAGGATATTAATTTGATAGTTTATCAAATAGAAGACACACAAAAACCTTAATAACTAAGTGGTAATATTGTTGATATATTATTTGATCTTATGCATCTTAGATAAATGTATTTACATGAATGTCATGTTGTTATGTGATTTTTCATGAGCAAATTATTCATTTTGATATAAAAGTAATGAAAATTTGATAAAAAAAAATATAACACAAGGGATATATAAGATTAAATAATAGTTTTTTTACTGGATCATGCAAAAAAAAAGGATATTATGATCAGGAGCTCTCACATCTTACTATTACTCTCACCTAAATCAAATTAGTTTAACTGTGGAGGCCAAATGAGTAATTAGGATTACCTCAAGAAGCGAGCTAAATGATATTTAACCTTTAAAAATGTGCTGAGGGCCTCTTTAATTTACTCTTTACACTTTGTTTTTTGCTTGTAAATACAGCCCTTTTATGGTGTGCTTGCTTTTGAGTTAGTTGCCCTCATACATTTACTAGATATATTCAAAGCTTAAAAACAATGGAAGCTCAAAAACCAAACATATATAACTAAACGAAGAAGAAAGAGACCCTAAACGCATCGTGAACTCGTATGGCTTTTCAAGTAGTACTGACAGTGAAGAGAGGAGAAAGAAGAAGAGGCCGACAGATAGTATCTCTCTCTTCCTTTATTCACTTTTCTTTTCTAATTCAAAATAAAAGGCTACAAAACCTGTACTCCCAGCTGTCTTCTTAAATCGAGCTGCATTCTTCTGATCTAACACTCAGCGCAGATTTTTTTTTTAATAAAACGATGATAGTTTCAATAGGAAGCTTTAATCTCAATAATCTTAAGCAAGCTTAACATAAAGCCAAAGTTAATTAGCTGTTCTTGCATGGTTATAATTAAACAGATAAGCTATGATCGTATTATTTTTTTTTATTAAAAGGATAGATTATATTAGTTTTATACATAAATGCCAAACTTTATTGGTCTTAGGGAAATGTAAAGAAAGAGAAAGAAAGAAGGGAGAATGCAGACCCACAGCTGCAGTTGTCAAGGAAGCTTCTGTCTTTGAAAGAAGGAAAGGTGGTATAAGAGAGGGTGGAGGACGTTAAGGTTCTTTTACTACATGAAATCATCTTTGGGGGGAGCAAAGCTGCCTTGGATTCTGTTATTGGTCTTATGAGGGGCTGAGCTGGTAGCGTTGGGCTTTGGAAAAGATAAAAAGAGAAGGATTCGGGATAAGAAAGTACCATTGATGAGAGTGAGAAGGAGATTTAGAAGGGAAGCTTCGCTTCTTTGTCGTGAAATTACACTAGTATTGGATGCTCTCTCCCTCGCTCTTTCTTTCTTCACTTTCTTTCTTCAGTGTTGCTAGCTTAAACAATAGTTTCTCTCATGCTGATAATTCTTTAGGATGTTCTGATTCATTCATATTTCGATCTGTAAATCATCTCTAGAGGAAGAAAATAGTTATGAAATTAGGGATAGAATCACGAGAACATATATTGACATATTCTTATTTTCATTTGGCTAAATATATATAATCTGACCTTATTTTTTCCTGCGATATAGAGAGATGTTTTCATGCAAATATTGATTTAGGAACGTCATATATACAACAAGACAATACTGCAATAAAGCAATAAGAGATCGAGCAGTTAAGATAAGTTTGTAAGCTGCCTCTTTAATTTAAATGAGAAAAGTCGTTTTCACTCACTCAAATTAATATATTTTTTTATATGATCTTCTCTGGATTGCATGTCATAAAAAAATGCCAAATTGGCCCACCATTTTCCTCATATATTGAGTTTTTTCTTGTAAATAGCATAGTGCTTAAGCCTTTATTTAACAATGTATATTGACTTAATGGTATGATTGATTGTGCGAATTATAGAGGTATTAAGTTAATGTGTCATACTTTAAAACTATGGGAGCGAGTTATGGTGCATAGGCTGCGGCATGATACTGATGTTTCTCAAAATCAATTTGGATTCTTGCCGGGTAAGTCGACTATGAAAGCCATACATTTATTAAAAGGTTTGATGGATAAATATAGAGAAAATAAGGAGAATATGCATATGATATTTATTGATTTAGAAAAAGCATATGATAAAGTTCCAAGAGAAGTGCTATAGAGAGTTCTTGAAAAAGATAATACTTTTTTTACCAATGTTTTTAAAACTACTACTAATTTTGACTTATAACAACAAGTTAAGCCCTGTGTCATGGATGGTACATTTTAGATGTTCTTTTTTGTTGTTGTTGAGAAAATTCATATAGGGCTTACGAGTTTTTTTTTTTTTTAGGGGAAACCCACCAACGGGCCTACGTGTTAATATAAGGGAAAATTACAGAGTCCTTAAAGGGATTTCTAGCTCACTACCGCTCAAAGAGCTACAGTCAAAATAAAAAAGAAAACCTAAGAGCCTGAAATCCCTACTAAGAAAAATTACATAAAAATCTAGTAACATTCTAAGTTCCCAAAAAAACACAATAAAGGAACCAAAAAGGCAGCCTAATCTCACAATCAGCACACGTACCCTGCACAAAACAAGCGCGCAGCTCCAAAAACCTGCAAAACAGGCAAACAAATGTACTCGAAAAGAGATTAAGCTAACAATCATGAAGGAAAGGAAAAACAGGAAATCAAAATAATTAAAGGAGATACTCCCAGTATACCCAGGCAACCAGCCGCTGCCATCACAACCAAGAGGAAACCCAATCAGCACAAAACAAACCCCCTTCCAAAGATAGCCAGCAACAACCTCCCAATCCCCCAGATTCAAAATATCAACCCCCATCAGAAAAATCCCCACCACCATCAGCCAAAACAGGGAGTTAAACCCCAACTTCAGCAAACACAGAAACCAGCTCCAACGACCAGACATAAGAGGAAGACAAGAGAGCCAACGACTCACACCCAGCAAAGACCAACCTCCAGAACCCAACCACCAGCAGACCCAGAAAAAACCACAACCACCAGAAGAAACAGAAAACAGCCACACAATACCAACACCAAAAAACCCACAAAAAAACCAGAACCAGAACCAGAACAACTACCCACCCAAAACATAAGGAACCTTACACTTATCCAAGAAAATCAAGCCTTGAATATGCACAGCTAAATTATCAAAATTGAGCTCAACAAAAGCATTAAAACTGCTACCAAAAAGCGATAACGCCCGGGAAACAGAGTTAACCTCCACGTTGATAACATTAAAAGAGCAGTTCAAGACCTCCAGCAGACCCATAATTTGTCTACGCAAATAAAAAAGAGAATGCCCACAGCTGCTACCGTCTTTAGCCAAGAACATGTTAGGGTCAACAGTAATATTGCTTTCTACCACCACATTATAAATATCCAAATTAATACAAGCAGAAAGCCCATGGTGAACAGCCAACAAAAAACCACTCAGCTTATCAACAGCCTTTGAATCCCCAGCAAAACCAGCAATATAATTCCCAATTAAGAAAGGTAGGGGTAGACCTAAAAAGTCTTTGTTAGAAAATATTAGGAATGACCTTTCTTTATTAGATTTTAAAGAGAAATTGACTTTTAATATGACACAATGGAGGAAAAATGATTCATGTAGCCGACCCCACGTAGTGGGATAAAGGCTTGATGTTGTTGTTGTTGTATTGACTTAATGGTATGAGAAATTTAATTTGCTCAAACAAAATAGATGTGTTATAATATGCTACATGATGGTTCGGGGTTTTTGTTGAGAGGTAAAGCCCTACATACACACATAATGAAGATGTTAAAAGATTAAATACAAGAAGAAATATCCAACATATAATAGAAAATTTAGGACAAAAGTCAATTTTTTTAAAACAAAATAAGTATCATTATTTAGAATGGTATTTATAATTGGCCAACTATAAAAGTAGATAGCAAAGAGGGCAATGCTAATCATATTTTGTTTGCTATTCAAATACACCATATAATATAAGAGAATTAGAAAAAAATTTAGTAATACGCAAGTGCTTTACTTGAACTCACTTTTTGCCTCAACCATTATACATGACGATATTATTTTAGTCGAAAGCAAACTCCTCCTATAGAGTGTCTTCTACAGATGTAAAAATAAAGATGCAAAGAGAAACTAGTCTTGATCATGCTAAGATTACTTGTATTGGTGTTCACATAATAATGATTGGACACAATTTGATAATTTTTTTTTTATATACTATTGGCCAAAGTAGCA